CCGTATGCGGATCCTGATTCATGAATCTGAGTCCATGATTCAACTCACGCTCTGATCCTGATTCATGATTCAAGTCACACCTTGATTCGAGAGAACTGATTCAGATTCTTAGCTCAGGAGAAAGAGTCGAGATTTCTGAGTATGAGTACTTGAGACAGAGTCAGATTACGTAATCATGAGCAAGATCCTTGATCCTTGATTTTAATCAGCCGCTGAATCCGATTCCTGATCCTCAATCACGATTCAAGATTCAAATCTATACTCAATGGCTGATTCAGAGTTTTTGGTACTGAGTCAGAGTATTTCATCAACTCGAGATTAAATACTCAGAGTTGGGATTTTCACTCGTGATTCGAGATTAATTCTCAGGAGTCGAGATTCTTTTACTCAACCTCAAAGCTGCTCAGATTCAAGATCGCAATCTCACCTTGAGCATGATCCGGGATCATACTCATGATGCACAAGCTCACAGTTTAACACGGGGATTAATCTTGATTCTGTACCGGGGGTCCGGACCCCCGGTACCAAACCTTGATTCTGATTCTCGACCTTGATTCACGACGCCAGCGCGCGCCACGGTAGACCTTCTCAGTTCCTTGCGAGTACTACTCGCCGAGTAGGTTCTTAGAATGACCGTACCGGGGCTTCGACCAATTGAAAACATATCCTTAACCAGTTGAGCTGTGAAATTATATGATACAAGACGCTGCAAGGAGGTATAGCGCACGTAGTACATACAGGATATTAGTATGACACTGCCCGGGATTAGAACCCCGGCTTCGAGCACATGAGATTATCACCTTAACCAGTTCAACTATGAGGTCATATGAAACAATTAATGTCATAGGATACGGTGTATGGAGGTATAGCACTAATGAACTACGCATTCCTTAATTCAATTAATTGTTTATAAAAACAATAAATGCCCTTCGTCGATCTTCTTGAGGGATTGTTCGATAACGACACCCGATCACGCTACCGGTTATCAAAGGAAGCTCTAGAAGGAAGCTCTAGCGCTGAGCTTCCTCTTAGCACTTCTGAGTTAGAAACCCAGAGTTAGTTGATTCCGAGTGAACATATTGAAAAGCTTGAAGTACGGATGTGTACAAGTGCGACGAAAGATCTTCTTCCGAAATTTTATCATTGCTGTAACGTAACGGGAAATGTCTGATTCAAGCTCTGATTCCCTGATTCTCGAAAATACTCAGATTCAATGGAATCACCCGAAAAATCAGCCTCATGAGCAAGGCATGACCATCAACCCGTGGTCGTCGTCGGCCTGTACCGTGCAACGGACCTCCCTTCCGGGAGCCTTGGTTCAACTGGAATCAATCAACGATTAAAAAACATTCAAGACTCGATCGGCCGAGCTCCCCGTTGAGACTTTACCTCTGAGCCCCGTTGTCTCCCCCCTCTCTACCGCTGCCCCGTTGAGTTTTCCGTTGACGGGGACACGGGGGGACAAATCCTGGGCAAGAATGACCACACACAGAATCATGGAGTTAACTTAGTTATGATGGAGCCTGGCATGAGCACATCTTCGCAAGACGAGGGGAACCGACTCGAACATGTGAGACCAGTTTTCGGCGAGATCGTGCAGAAGACAATTGAAACTGTCGATTATTTGCCCAGTGCTCCGAGTGGAGACCCACAGTCCGTTCGGGCGGAAGCAGACAGCTCTCTGGCTGTGAGTGAGGAATCTCAGTCAGGGTCGACGTATGGGAGCAGCAGAAACTCAGACGGCGTAGTGGTCACCGCAGACGATGAAGTTCGAAATTATTCATACAGTGTAACGGAGTGTGAACAAACCAGAGACCAGCGAATGACCTGTGCCAATACGAAGGAGTTGGTGACAGACGCAGAGGCAGAAGCACTTGAGGTTGGCTCTAGCTTCATCACACGGATGAGTTCACTTATCAATGCTGAAATACAGCTGGCTTTGGAGAAGTTCGATCGTCGTGAATCAACAGATATGATTAAGGAAGACCCCCCAACCGTTTCCCCCCAACCTGCAGAGTGATGTGGAAGATTCGGGACGGACGGTTGTGACGGAAAGTGGTAACCGTAGCCTCAGTCCACCCGGAAGTGCTCTTTGGTCGCCACTAAGGGAATGATCAGCAAGGACAAGAAATCTGAAGTCTCCTCGACTGACCCCTGGATGAGAGACGGCTGTCTCTTGTTCATGAAGGAAGGTCTGGTTCTGAAATACTAATAGTTATTCACTAGTGACAGGGAGGATTCCGGAATCGCTAAGGCCCCGATGCTGATACGACAAACGTCCGATGTGCGGAATGACAGAGCCCATGCAGGGCAGCACCAGCAGCTGCCCTTCCTTGCTGTTGTAGACAAGACGTGTGTACTGTTGGGTTGAGTATACCTCTAGTGGCCGAGCGAACCTCAGATGTTTGCAAAACTCGACAAGTCACCAAGGATGAAGACGGCTATGAACTATGGTCATTCAGGAGCGGCTTCTCTAACTTTCCTGAATTCATCTCTTGGATCACCACGCGAGCATCAGGCATTTCTGAAGAAATGAGAAACCATTGTGTGTCAACCTATCATGAGAAGATCAGCTGATACCCACGCGGAACTAGAGTGCAGCGAACGTAACGTCCTCGGCTCAGCCACGGGTCTGTTGTAATCTGAGCAATAGCCAGATCTTGATCTAGGAAATATCAAAACGGAAGCGGCATGAGGCAGGACATGACATCGAGATTCGAAAAATATAAAGCCTACATCATCCATCGAGCATCTCTTTCTAACCTTAGGCGTGAGCATCCTCCTGATGAGGCTTCGCAGTGGTGGACTTGCATCGGCCTTGAAATCAGGGCCCACCTCGAGAAGAAAGAGAAAGATACGTCTAGAACTCCTGTAGCAAACAGCTGCAGCAGAGCCAGATGAGTCCATACAGGGAGAGAGCGTGGCCGATCGATACCCAAACGAGACGGAGGTGGACTCAACGCGAAAGAAAATGCCAGCAGCCGGGACCTCTCTCTGGTCGACTTACTCGCTCGAGTCTCTCGCAGACCTCCTTCGCAGGGCGTTCGAATGGTAGCTTGCCGTGAGTCAGGGCATAAAGGATGACGCCAAGGGACCACACGTCGATCTTGAAGGGGTCGTTTCCCACACTCTCCCCTAGGAAGAACGAGACCAGGAGCTCGGTCATAGCATATGCTCACCCCAATAGACCTCAGGCGCCAAATACGCCTCAGTGGCACTGAGTCAGTGCCAGCATCTGTGACCATTATCTCGGGGATCACACTGTGATCATCACAGCGAAGTTCTAGAGCTACTGTTGCATCAGCGTGGCTCGGGCTGAAAGCTTACGGCTAGGCTGAAGTCGACTATCTTGCAGCAGCTGTGCTCATCCATGAGGATGTTCTCAAGCTTGAGGTCTCTATGGACGACCCGCTTCGAATGACAATAATGAACTGCTTTTGCTATTTGATTGAATATGTGCCGGGAGACTGAGTGAGATGCCAATAACCTTCGGAAGTGTAACGTTTGTTGTCTACTGTTCTCATCATTGATGAGTCATCAAGAAGGCCGTGCCTTTCAACGAACCGTCGCAACTCTCCTCCGCTTGCCAGCTTCATCACGAAGCAGATATACTCTGGATGATCCACAACGTCGACCTTGCGGATGACGTTAGGATGACGAAGAGCTCGCAACGTGTCGATCTCACTGAGATCATCTCAGTACGAAAGAGCGCTTTTCTTGTTTTCTTCGATTCTTTGTGCCACAAAGTTTGTGGTACTCGTTCCCCAAGGGTGATCACCCGGAACTTACGCCCTCCCTCAGAGACAACGCAAAACACCACACGGCATGATGAAACTCGATTGTAGTACAATCATTGTATAGTTTTAAGACTTGAGAACATGCGGGTGATTGTGACTTCACCCTGAGGGAAGATATCGTCGCCTCTTAGAGTGTGCGCAGAGGATAAATCGGATGCTGATTCTGCCACTGACCAGCAAACCGATGACGAAACCGACGAAGGGGATAACGTTATGTTCGACATCCCTCCCGATCTATTCTGATTCATGCTACCGCTCTCCATGCTCGGGGACTTCGAGGTCGGGATGCGCGCAATTGAAATTTTGTCAGTGACCGATTCAGCATGAACTGTGGCAGAACTTCCCGAAGTATGGGATTCTGAGTTCACGGACTCGGTGTCCGGGACCCCAGATTCTGCAATCGACCACTTCTCTATCGGGCTAGTGCAGACCCTGTTCTCGCAGATAGCTGATCCTAGTCGAATCATCCTACACCACTGGCTTCACTCCATGCGCTCCCATGGTTCAGAGTTCAGAACATAATACAATTTTCATCATAATTCGTCTTCATCCGCTAGCAGTCTGATGCAATAGACTGTTGGGGGCAGCAGCATTAAAGATGTCTCGTGGAGTAGGTAGTGCTGGTTGACGTACGATCTGCTGACGGGCCGAAAGTGCACGTTGCACGGCATCTTGCTCTGAAGATGATTTAGGTGTAGCGATCGTCAAGATTTGCGAGTATAGTAGCCTGCCGAATAGGCATCAGGTTGTAACCAGACTCCGTAGACGATCTTCCATCGGCACCATCATCTCTCGATCCCAACCAATAAACTAGATAGGTGTCAACAGGACATACACTATAACACGGGCCGGACCCATGATGGGTCACCCATCCAATTAGTGGCAGTCTTAAAGTGGGCTGGCCGCCAAACTTAGACCCAGGAACCGAGCTCAATAGGGCCGACACGCCGACCAACCGAAGAGAGAACCCATGACCTGCGCGATGCTACTCGCCTAAGTTCCCAATTGGCTTGATACAGTTTTAAGCTTATTCCAAGAGACTCTCGTACAGTTGCAGGAACTTGAGCTACGTTGTTGTTTACCTTAGAGCCTCTTAGTTAGAGGCCAGCTCGGAGGGGGGAATAGCTTCAAATGCCTCAATAAAGTGCTCGGCAGCGGGCGATAAAGGGAGATCAGCAGCTCCACCGGGTAGCAACGTTGTAGATCCCTTGGCAAGATACAAGTCATTAGGGGTGACAGCAGCAGCAGCTAAAGAGGAGCCAGGTAATGGGGAGTTGTTGTAAGCGTGGGTGACCAGGCTGTAAAACTTCCACCAGTAGAAAGCCGGTGAGTTGGTCTCCAGCAGCATGGCTCTCAAGTTGAGAGTCTCAACCCATTCTGATACTCCTTGTGGCAGCGTTCGTAGAAGGCCAAATTGGGCGAGAATGGAGGCAACATCAGCAGCTGAATGCCTCTGGCCACGCTGCTGGTGGGGACTTGCCACAAACATCCCACGTACAAGCAAATTGGCAAACATCCCACCGTCAACCAGGCAGACTGGGCGAAATCCGAGAGCTCACCGAGGACCGTCGCAACTTCGGCCGAAGACTGGTTACAGAGAGTACGAGTCCATATCCTATAGCCTTTAGGCTATAGGTTGCCGCACATATAATCATCAGGATGTACTTAGGTGTCGGTAAGGAATCAGCAAGGACATCACTGCGAGGGTTACCGACGCTCTGCAAGGCAGTGTCAACTTCGGCACTCCATGGGCTCAGCTTGAGAGATTCAGTGGAGGCCGAAGTGTAGACCAGGCTGGCCAGCAAATCAATCCCAAGCAGCTCACCTAGAAGTGAGGATCGGATACGAGCCCGTCCAAGGCCATGCCGGTGCAGCCTAGCGCTCTTCGTACGCCTACAGCCTGTAGGCGTACAAAGAGCGGCTTCCCCAGCGCTGCGATCAGTTGGTCATTCCAGCTTACGCAGAACCCAATGGCTATCCTGAATAACCACGGTGATATAGGGTCGAGTTTCACGGTTTTCCAAGACCTACCGACGAAGTCAATGCCAGCGAGCGTAGGATATGAGTCTATCTTGAACTTATCCCGATCGACAAACCAGATATGTTCAGCGGCTGAACTTCAGTCCTCTGATCCCCAGAATCAACAATTGCATCATCCAACTTTCCCAGCTCAGCTGATTGCAATAATAACTTCGTCACGGAGATGATGCACCGATGTGAGCACCTGCCAGGGCCGACGGTTGACAGCTTGAGAGTCTCAAGTTGAGACGTGCAAGATGCTGAGGCTGTTTTGTTGAGAGCGTCATGGTTGACGGCGAACTTGTCAAGTTCAACTTGAGCACCCAGTCTATTTTCTTGACCTGAGGGAATGTACCTGACAACTGAGCGTAACTCATGCGTGCGACAAACGTGTAATCGAAACTCACTGTGAGTTGCGATTACGCGTTTGTCACACATGACAACCGCTGTCAGACAGCTCCCATGCAGTTTCCACAGAAGTTACAGGACTCGCTCACCTAGCTCACATATGGTACGATAGTTGATGATGAAGCTGCGATAGACGTGGCACTCGCTTGACGCCCATCTGGTCGATGAAAAGGATAAGGGCACTACAAACGGAAGTTCTAGCTCTTCAGCTTGTGCCTCGAGGTTCTTATAGGCATTGCCGTGCCTCGAAGGCATCGCTGGATGTAGGATGCTGCGCATATCAGTGACGCCCTCATGCGAATCGTCGACGGCAAGCTCAATTCGATGTGCTATGCACCATGAATGGAAAATCTGATCATCCTCGCAGCCAAGGGTCGCTGCTGATCTTGCGCCAACTTTCACCGCATGCTAATCTCTATCCGTGGCCAAAGTCACGAGGTTGTCCCGGAGAGATTCTCCCGTGAACCCGAAGGATATAAGAGACTCCAGAAGCGTAGCTGTGAGACCGGATTCGGTCTCACAGCAAGGCCAGCAATCTCTCAGACTCTCTGTGGCTGTGACCTCCGACAACATTGAAATAAGCAGGGCGAGCCACCGCCAGAGCCTCGCTCCGTCGCGTACGCGTTTTGCCCGTCTCGCCAATACTGATGCATCTATTGTGAGTCGGTACTTTGAGATGGTCCTTGAGGGAAGCGATCAGATCACGTTGCCTTTCTGCAGAGGGTATCGGATCTCCGACACTGAATACGCCTAATCTATCGAAGAAGCCAGGACGCTCATTCCTCGGAATAGACCATTTGTGGGTATCGCATACCGTGCATCGGACCGTCCGCAAGTCATCGTCCAATTTATAGGGGCCGATGTTAGCGATTCTGAGGCGGAAGTCGAGTTCACGTTGGTAGCGGGCGTCGTTAGCCAGGTGTTGGTTAAGTAGAGCTTTGATCTCATCCAGCTTTTCGCTTTGATCCCTTACAATTGTAGCCAATCCACCTCTCGTAACATCGACAACAGGAGCGACGGGCTGCGGAGATGCTGTCTGATTCGGCTGTGGTGCTGCTGGGCACTCGATGGATGCAGCGGATGGTTCGGGACTTCCCAAATGGCCTGAAATGTAGTTGACGCGCTATACATCGTGCATGATAATCATACTATGATAAGTCTTAAAACATATAAGCCGTTGACCTACCCTCAGCATCCATGGCACAGCGATCCTGAGGAGTACCATTTGGGTACGGAGGGTGAAATAGCCACGCACAGGAGATGATATTTGCGTTTCTGGCGAGCGCAACTTGGTTTTGTGTTATGGGTTCATGGAACCGCGTGATTCATCAGGATAGGAACTAAGATGAGTTATGAACGCAGAACTCATGTTCTTTGGTAGTTGAGAGTAACGTTCTCTCAATTTTTACTTCCCATCCCAACCCGCCCGTACAGGAGAGGCCCAGCATCCGGTTATGTCGCGTTGGAAACCATCGCACCATTTCTCGGTTATGCGGGCCTGGGCAATTGGGTTATTCATCATTCGTAGCTCGATCTGGTGTGCTGATAGAGCACTGTGCTTCTACTCTGAACACCCAAGTTCGATTCAGGCTTTTGTCTTGACAATTAAACTCGAATGATGCTGTATCCAATTGCCCCTCTCTCCCAATCTCCTGTGTACAGGCGGCTTCAATTTACTCCCCATGGTTTTGATCGGAATACCACTGTTATTTCCGGATGACTCTGAGCTAGCATGTCCGCTGGGAGCGCTTGGAACCCCGGCTGACCGAGCGCCCCTATCACCGCTCCCTGTCGGGGCAAAGAAGTCTAATAGAGAGCTTTGACCTTTCTTGGGCTTGTATGCTTCCGGTTGCTCCGGGTGGTGGCGACCGAAGTGATCGTAGAGACGGAAATCGTCCTTCCGCGCTTTATGTGGGCAGTACATGCACTCTGCGGTGCTTCGCGTAAGCTTCGTTTCAAATCTCCTGAGTCTGTTAGCCTACGAACGCTACCGATTGTTGAGATCTACAACTTGACAGTACTTATGGAGACAATTGCAGCTTCAGAGCAGGCAATGTGTTTCCGAAAACTGCAGTAGCACTGCTTCGCAGATATTGTATGTAGACATCAAGACCAAATTTATGTAGTAGAGGTAGGAGCTACTCAATTAGACATTAACAATGTTAATGTCTAATTTACATAACTAACTGTTAATTTAACATAATGAAAGGAATTTGAAAATAAGTGAAATAAATATAAGGGGATCATAGATAAGAGATATCAAAATATAAAATACATTGTAATCATTGTAACGCCTAGATCTGTAGTAGCTAATTTGGAGTCATTAACATCAGAAATA